AAGCAGCGGTGCGCGAAGAAGCGGTGCGCAAGAGTGTTTGCAAGGTGCGTCAGCAGCATGTAAGCCGCAAAGATTAGCAGCAGCACGAGCGCGTCGATGCAGACCAGCGCGCCGCGCCACCGGCTAAATATGAGCAGCGCGTGCCCCGCATCAGCGACCTGCATCGCCGGGAGCCACATAGACCCGTGGATCATGCGGCCGAGGCCCAGCGGGCCGAGGTTCGCGTAGGACGGCAGCGCGCTCGCACTCGCGCAGAGGTCGACGTACAGCCGCTTCCACGACACGGCGTGAGCGCGCGCGCAATTCGCAAGCGGCGCCGTCCAGTCGCTGGCGATGCCGCGCAGTTCCTCTCTCGCAACGGCGACTAGCGTCGCAGGCGCAGCCGTGCGCCGGTGGTACCAGCGTATGACGATGACGCTGACGAGCGAGGCGGCGACGTGGTGCGGCGCATAGAGGAGAGCTCGGCCGCACTTGTAGTACCAGCAAGCGGTAAAGACGAGCGAGGCGGCCGATTTGGCGGCCGCGAGCGCAGTCGCGCGCGAGCAGGAGCTTTCGGCGGCGACGCGAACAGTGTCCATGATTTGTGCTGCGCTCCTGGGGCTACTTTAGGTGAGATCCGCTGGGAGTGCCCAGGCACGACGGCAAGAAACCCAGGGATGAACCTCGCTCGCGACGGCGTGCCGTCCTCCCATCCCTCCCTTGGGTTGTCTGTTTTCTTTCTTTCTTTTAAAGAAATGCGCAAGGCGAAAGAAGCCGCGAGAACAAGGGACCGACAGGAGGCGGCGTCGCAGGACGAGGCAGAAGAGAACGACGCGACAGAGGAGGAAGTGACAAGGGAGAGACCGACGAGAGTGGGACGGCCGCGAGGTGGCATGAAGGTTGCAGCGAGAAGCGGCGAGAGACTGCGAAAAGAGATACGAAGAGGCAGACTCCCCAGGGTGGGCGACGGCTAGCGCACCACACTCCTCTCCTTAAAATCCCTGTGTGGTGGCGGCGTGCCGTTCTCCCATCCCTCCCTTGGGTTGTGTGTTTTCTTTCTTTCTTTCTTTTAAAGAAATGCGGGCCCCCGGCGCCGTCTGCTCTGCGTGCATCTGCTCTGCGTGCAGATCGGCGGGCGCTCCGGAAGTCCTACGACCCATCCCATGAAGCGCCCGCCCGGCGCCCCTAGCACGGCGGTCCGCACCTCGCGCGCTTCGCCCGTGCCGCGGTCCGCAACACCGGAGCTACCGCTCCCATCTTCACGGATCTGGCGAGGCACTTCGAGCCGAGCGCAGCCAGGAGGCGCGGGCAGCGGAGGGACTCAGTCAGATCGTCAATTTTCTTTTTTCTTTTTGACCGCGCTAAGGGAGCAAGTGCTCTGCCCGCAAGGCGCCCGCGTCGCAGACGCGGTACCATTGACAAATCTGCAACAAAACCCCACACGAACAAATAGCAAAATCCGAATATCGATCTGGGCCGTGCAAGCCTTCAGCTGGTGCCAAGACATTCTCTTCGTTCGTAAAATTGAAGCCAAGAACGTCCGCTAAATCCGTGCTAGGGAAAGCTGATCGAGCCCGCGGCCGCCTCCCGCGCAGCACCGCCGCTGGGGACGACGAAGGCCCCCGCACGGGGGGTCCCGGGGGGCACCATGATCGTCCGCCAAGGGTCCGGGGTCGCCCAGGCAAGTGGCCCAAATCCGATGAGTTTTCCAGGTGTGAACAGCAGCTGAGAGGTGTGAATTCATCCCGGGCGGGGTGCGGGGCGGCCGCCCCGCAGAGAAAATTTTGCGTGCTGGGGCACTGAGATCGCAGTTTTCGTTAGTCCACGGCGGATGCCAGCGGCAGCTGTTTCGAAGATTCGCGGTGCCGCATTTGAGCATGAATCAGCGACCTTTCTGCTGGCATCACGCATAAGAGAAGCCGAGAGGCACGAGGTCGTCCAATTTGCCGGATCAGCAGCGCGGTCTGGAGCGTGGTTGAGTGGTTGTGCGCCGGCACACTTGCCGACGGGCGCCGGGGTCTCTTCGGGTAGGGGGACTAGTTCGCAAGCGCCTTCCGCAGTGGCCACATCAGCCTCTCAAGCATACCTCTCACTACGGCTTGAATCCTCATGGCCGCTCCGTTCCTATACACACTCTCGAACTCCTTCCGCTCCCGCCTGATGCGGCGGTTGTGTGTGGGCCTTATGGCTATTCTCTGCTAAGAACGATCTCACCCAGTCCCGAGGCGGCCCGTCCATGCGTGACACCCTGTTAGAACTTAACGTGAATGTTTGATCTCCGACAAGCTCCGACGTCACCCGGGCATCCTCTACCCCCAGGGAGGTGGAACCCACAGTGGACGTTGAATTCTCAGCATACACTGGCATCCCTTTGCGTTATTTATAGTAAGCGATCGCCTCCAGGAGCCCGCCTCTCTCCCAGTCCCTCAGGCCTTCTGGCATCCCTTTGCGGTGCGCATTCTCAATCTGCTGCAGCGCGGGTTTGCAGTCGCATAGCACTAAGCACCTCCGCGATTGCGCATCGCTCGCGCTCGCCATTTTGCGTAAGTATGCGAGTATCGCGTACATCTCCGCGGTCCTCTTCCCAGCTCCGCTGAGGGCCGGTCCGTTATTTATTTTCAGGCATACATGCCGAGTCGCTGGCGACTTCTCTCTCTGCTCGTACTCCCCGCCGGCAACACCGCCGCCGCCGCCTACTGCACGTCGTCCGCCTTCCCGCCGGCACAGCAGCATCGTCGCCTGCGACCACAGCAGCATGGGCTGCGGCATCCCGCTGCCGAGGCGAACGCGTTCGACGTCTGGTGGGCTGAGCGACGAGCGCGCAACACCGTCGCCGGCAAACCGCGTGCGGTGTGGGCGCAGGCGGCGGCGTACGAATCCAAGAGCGCAGAGGGGCGGGCGAGGCTGAGGGCGGCCCGTGTCGCGGCGGCAGCAGCGGAGGCGGCAGCGGCGGAGGCGGCAGCGGCGGAGGCGGCAAGCCCAGCGGCCACCGCCAACGCGCTCCCGCTGGACAGTAGCTTTCGTTGGACGGCTTCGATGCTGTCGGGCGAGGCGAACTGCGCTTGGAGCCCGCCCTTGTCTTCGAGTGTCGGCGTGGTGCTCACCGAGTTTGTCCAGAGCGACTATGCGAGAGCGGTCTTCAACACCCGCCGGGTCGGCGGGAGCGACTACGGGCAGATCCACGGCATGTTCGATTCGGTTCGGCTGGTCGGCACGCGGCTCGAGCTCAAGCCGAGGCAGGCTTGCGAGAATGTCGAGGGCCTCTTCGATCGCCTAGCAAAGTACCTCCGCGCGAGGATCCCGCAGATCAAGGATGTCGTCGAGATAATCAGGGACGGCGAGAATCATCACTGAGTGTGCTCTAACTACGGATTTTAGCCCCCCGCTACCCGGTTGCACTCGTGCGACGTAGCGGGGGGCCACAACTACGTTTACGAAAACATAAGTAGTCCCGCTCGGCAGGTGTGAAGCAGGTCGGATGTCGTCGTAACACACGAATCACGATGTGGTGGCCCCGCGAACGGTGCACGCTGCTGCGCCCCACGCCGCGGTGCGCGGCGGCGATGCTGGCGGCCTCGCTGCTGGCGATGCCAGCCGCGCCACTGGCACGTCGGTCGCCACTGTCACCAAGTCTCTCGCCGCGGTGGAGCTCTGCGACAAGGACGTGGCAATGCGCTGCTCTGCTCAAAGCGATCGGCTGGCTCTGCTGCCGACCCTGAGTGGGAGGCAGTGCTGGCGCAGCAGATAGCAGAGGAAGCAGAGGAATCATAGCAGAGGAATCGGAGCTCTACTGCCGCTTGCATCGCCGTGGCGACGACTCCGACGACGGGTGGGACAACTACAGTGAGGAGGAGGAGGAGGAGGATGGCCATGCTGCTGTGCAGGTCGTGGCTGGGAAGGTGAACGAGCCGCTCGAGGAGCGGGACGAGTCGGCTCGTGTCACCGGTGGAGGATTCAGTATGCCGCAGGCGGCTCCCACCTCGATGGGTTATCACTCCTGCGACTGCATCGAAGAGGGCTTCAACATTCAACAAACAGGAATCGAGGGTGACCGCATGTCTGCATCAGACGTGTCATCCGTCCCGATCGTGACCAACCAAAGCCACCCCTCTTCTCAGATCAGTGCTTGAACCGATCCTGAATCCTCTGCCGCTCCCAGCCGTGCTCGCCGAGCCTCCGCCGCCTCCACCTCCGCCTTCAATCTCAATGTCCCACCCCCCTGCGCGCGAGCCTTCTAGGCCCGCGGGTAGTCTCCCCCCATCCCCAGGGCCTCCAGGGCTCGCACCTCAACCTCTCATAGACCAGCGCAAAGCGCCACAGGACGTATTTTCTTCTCAATAACAAGGTCTGTGAATTGGCCGCCCCAGAAGTCCCCTTTGGAATTGCCTGATTTTGCTGCGCGTCCCAAGAGCGTCCAAACTTGTTGGCGGCGAACGGGTAGGAATTCACTATTGTGATGTTAGAGGTGGGTTAAGAGGGAGATGTGCGCGAGCTGAATTCCTACGACGTATTTTCTTCTCATAACAAGGCTGTGAATTCCTATCTCGCAACGAATCTCGCCGGCCTCACCGGCCCTCACTTTGACCGACGCCACCGTCCGCTCGACTGGCCGATGAAGAGCGACCCGTACGACGCGCACTTGTCGTCCTCCCTCCTCGCCACATGACGGCCGCCCCCCGACACCGACAGTCGCGCTCCGCACGCCGTCGAGGTCAGCTGCGGCCGAGCGACGATCGGCTCGTCTCCGATCGCTGGGCGCGTTTACTCTCCGGCCATCACCCGCCTGCCGATCTCCTGTCCGCCTCGCCGCGCGCGGGCCGTTCGCCTGCTCGCCACTCGCCGCCGCGCGTCCCCGCGCCGCCACGCTTCCCTGCACCTGACGGCGCTCGAGCTGGGCAGACGGCGGGCTCTGGCAGACAGAGCAGCGGCCGCCCAGGCGGTCGCTGCTCCGCCCCGTCCGAATCCGTCCGCCCGCGCGTGCTGCTGCCGCCGCCGCCGCCCCGCTCCACCCGGTGCCCGTGTGTCGTGAGAGTTGCTTTGTGTATGTGTATGTCGTATGTATGTGGACTTATATGTCACACTTTGAGCCTCTATCTATGATTAGTAGACCGGTACTCGGGTTTGGATGGTAGCGGGGGGCCCCGCCGGAGGCTGGTTACTGATTTAGTTAGCTCGGAGACACTGCCGTAGTACGGCCCCGTCGAGTGTCACACATAATCGTACAACATTGATACCAGGTTCTTCTTTTCCTTCTGCTCTCACAAGAGCCTTTTTGTTTTTCCCCATGAGTTTCCTCATTCACCGTCGTCCGCGCGGCATTCGGCATTCCCGCTGCGGCGTGGCCGTGGGCCACAGCCCCACCCCCAGCACGGCGCAGCAGCACCAGAGCTTCAGGTTCAGCAGCTTCCTCGTTCCTGCCCGTGCCGACGCGGCAGGAACGTCGTTGGTTGCTCCCCTCTCACCTCGCTCGTGAGGTTGCCTATGTCCCTCGACTCGGCCACATGCTGGCTCGGACCCGCGCCCAACTGGAGACCGAGGCTGGCAAACTTGCCCACGTCGAGCTTGTTCTTCCTCCCCTCGGCCACGGCGCCGTTGATCACCAGCCACTCGCGAACCTCCTTGTGTCGTCTCGCGAGGGCATACGGTGTGTCACCGCTCTTACCCGGTCGGTTCACCTCCGCTCCGTTCTCCACCAGCACCTTGACTGCATCGAGGTGCCCGCCCATTGCCGCTGCACAGAGCGGGGTCTCCCATGTGCCGCGGGAGCCATAGCTGCCGGCGTAGCTCCCGGTGATGACGGCGTTGGGGTCCGCCTTGTGCTCGAGGAGTTGGGCAAGAACCGACGCATGTCCGGCCTCGCCCGCGGCCGTCAGTAGCGGCTTCACGTTCTCGATCGGCGCCGCTGCTGTCTGCAATGATCCTGCCCGGTCCACGAAGCCAGCATCCATGAGGAGTTTCACAACGTCGAGGTGGCCGTTGG